CTTGGTGATCAACCACAACTGACAGAGTTATTTGTTTAAAAGCATAGTGATATTGGCTGAATTATTTTTCTTTCTCTTCACAATATGGCTATAGTTTCCTTCATATATAAAACACTGAGAACAAACACGATTACAGGTAGCCCTCGACTTACACAATTGAGCCCAAAATTTCTGTTTTTAAGTGAGACATTTGTTGAGTTTTTGTCCCATTTTACCACCTTTCTTGCCACAGCTGTTAAGTGAATCACTGCAGTTGATAAGTTAGTACTATGGTTGTTAAGTGAATCTGCCTTCCCCATAGGTTTTACTTGTCAGGTGGCAAAAGGTGATCACATGACCTTGGGACACAGCAATGGTCATAAGTATGAGTCAGTTGCCAAGTGTCTGAATTTTGATCACGTGATCATGGGACTGCTACAAAGGTAAATGTGAAAAACGGTCGTAAGTCATTTTTTTCAGTTCTGTTGTAACTTTGAACGGTCACTAAATGAATTGTTATAAATTGAGGACTACCTGTATTTACTACAGCTATAGGCATCTAGAGCTGCTATGACATTTTCTTATGTCGAGGAGAAATTAGAAAATTAAAATTAAAATACCCAGGCAATAATAATTATATAGCATGACTTCATTTCAGATCCAGTTTATTTATTTTATATGCTAACCTATCTCTCGTGACTCTGGACAGCTTATAATAGAATTGACTAAATTCCCCTAATGCAAAACAAAAGCACATAGCAGTTAGGAATCATGAAAAATCCCATTAACATAACTAGGAAACAGGCTCTTGGGGGTGAGTGGGTGTTGAGACTTGAGCAGAAAAACCAACTTTAATGTAGAGTTGAAGTAAGCTCCATTTAGTACTGTCTCAAGAAAACCAGAACAGGATATACAGTATATCCTGTATGTGACTTGGTGACTGATGCAATATTTGTGGGTGTTGTGCAACCTAATAAAAGGCCACTGACTTTCAATACTGAAAAAGCAACATCAACTGTCAACTTCTGTGTGCTGCAATTATTCTTCTCCAACTTGGTGCCTCTAGCTGCAGACCAGACTAGAGCCTCCATAATCCAATGTCTGTAACATAAAACAGACTGGGGTAGGCTATTCTAAAGAATGCAAAGCACATTTAAAACTTTGCAAAAAGATGGAAGGATATGAGGAATGCTGCTTTCTATGATCATCAGAGAAAAACAAACTAGTAAGAAACTAGTTCCCCGCTCAGTGAAAGGCTCCCCAAATAATGAACATTTCCAAGAGAAAAGTTAGATTTAGTTATTGGTCATAAAGTTGCTACTAAGCTTCACTTCTGATTCAAGTGAGAAAGCTTATTGTCTAAAATTTGTGGCTTTCTGGGCTCAGAAACTCAATTAACTCAGGCTTGGTTAGGACTCAGATAAGAGACTTCCAGCCCTGCCTGAGAACTGCAAAACATGCCATGAGTCATTGTCAAATTGTTTACATTGTCACCAAGAAGCCTGCATGAATATGTCTGTGAAGTCACTAGGTGCTAAGCCCTAAAAGGAGTGTTTACCTTTTATGAAGACAGTAAGTATATGTGATGCTGCTAAAGAAGTTATAGGCTTAGTCCGGATACTTTAAGTTCATCCTCCATGGTCTCCAATTTTGACAATGCACTTCTATTAACCTTAAGCAATTCTTTAGCACACTGAATTTTATTTCACATTTATATTTTAACTTTCTTTGATTATAGAACTCAAGATACTGTTCCCAGATGGATTCGAATTCTGGAATTGATCAGATCTACCTTGGTTTAATTTCTGCAAGCTGTTTACAGGAACCTTCTGTTAGACATACATGAGTCTGTGTTGTCTTATAGTTGCTTGGAATATCACAAGTGCTAATTGGTTAGGACTTAGATCTGCAAGTTGACTGCAACATTACAATTCAAAGAAGAGATTTGAGTGTCTTTCTCAAACATAAATAAGTCAAAACTATCGTTTTAATTGTCTGATTTTTCAGCAATTGGATGAACAAAAATATAAGCTAAAGATTATTCAAAAAAGAAAAAGAAAAAATTGGAGAATCTCATACTGGCTCTCACATAATCAGTGTTACCAATTATTTGCAAATAAGGTGTCTTAGGTTTTTAAAATTATCTATCATGCCAGCATACCAGAGTATTGGTGCACAGAAACAAGTGTAGATAATAAACCTTCATTTTTTAAAAAATGTCTTGCCCTCTTTTCATTGATGTTGGTAGAAAATGAGGATGGTATTGGGAATATATAAATAGGCACTCAATGACTAACAGCCTGCATAAATTGAAGAAAAGCAGGAACCAATACTTCCTTATATACATATTACATTGATGAATTTTGCATGCGTGTGCATAATTGAAAAAGAGTATTATCTAGGATTGAAGGAAAATCCAACATAATGTAGTGTATATTATGACAGATTTATACTAGAGACACCCAAGACCAAGTTTTCATTTTTGTTTGGAGTTTGCTAGCTAAGGTTTGGGCTAGACCAAGTTTGAACTCGGCCAAACTCATAGAATTTTGATTTGGGTTACAGTGAAGCGAAATCCATGGAAACTGTCATGGGAGCTTCCCATAGAAAAGGCAGGAGAGACATGTAAAATAATATCAAGTGCTGGAAGCTAACTTTTTTCAACTGATAATTTACTTCTAACTATAACATTTTCTAACAATATAAATGAGGTTTAGATGATCAAAATAATAGTATAGAAATAGAGGAATTAAAGCCCAAGCAATCAGTCAGTTTCTTTAATCACATTATGTAACTATTTGATGTTTTGAATATTTAAAATGTCTAAAATGTTTCTAATGTAAAGGAAGAACAGCAAATGAAAATGTCATTTTGCATATTTTTAGTTAAATCAAGTGCATATTAACTTAGAATTAAGAGACATTAAAATTGGTGTGCATTCTGCATAACAACAGAATCTAAATATAATTCTTTAACAGTTAAATCCTAACAGCTATTTTTTTGGGGGGGATATTTTAGTATTGCACACATATAATACAATTTATTTATTGCAAACTGACTCTAATCTTAACCATTAACAATTTGAAGTTGCCAGCTTGTTGGGAATTCAGCTCCCATAATCTTCCAAACAGCAGTACCAAAATCCTGGGAATTATGAAACTGAAGTTCTACATTTATGGACTGCATTGGGTGTATTAAAATGGGATAAACAAGGAAATGAAACTGCATAAATCGATAAAAGCATAAGGTATCATTATGTCAAAAGTTACTTATAATTTATAAACATATAAGGTTTTACATTTTTAACAGTAACAGTTATGGTAAGAATAAAAGGATTTATTAAGTATTACAGTACAATAACTATATCCACATTACATTTATATTTTATATATTATATAGAGGACTGCAGAGAAAGATAAGGAACTGACAATATCTGTCTTCTAGTGTCATCATATTATATTTTGCTTTTTCGTTAGAATCTTAGATTAGGGAAGGACCAGAGAAATCCTCTAGTCCAGGGATGTCAAACTCGATTTCATTGACGGCCGTATCAGGGTTGTATTTGATGCTGGGGAGGGGGGCAGGGGGGCCTGGCCAGCTCAATATCACTGTTGGGGGTGCCTATGGTGGTTCGAGCACTCTGCCAGCAAAAACAGGCTCCCAAGGCTCTATTTTCGGCTGCGAAGCCTCCTGCAACCATCTGCCTGTGCCCCCCCCCCCCAAGTTCTGTTTTCACTGGCAGAGGCACTGTGGGCCAGCCCTTTGCTGTTTCCAGGGCAGCCCCGCGGGCCAGATCTAAGCACCCCGTGGGCCACATCGAGCCCCAGGGCCTTGAGTTTGACACCCCTGCTGTAGTCCAACACCCAGCTTTTTTCAAGTCCACTACAATATCTCTGATAGATGATCACCTAGCCTATTCTGACAACCTCTAATAAAGGAGAACTCACCATATAATGTGGTACCTATTCCATTCATTGACAATTAATATAATCATGAAGTTCTTCCTGGTGGATAGCATAAACTACCTCCTCCTTTATTAAAGCTCTTCAAATATTTAAAAATGGCTTTTATATCACTCCTTTGCGTACACTAAACATAACCACGTCCTTTAACTATTCTCAGTCTTGGTAGCTTTCCCCTAAATTCAATCCAGAACATCGTTCACCTTTCTGAACTGCATAGAACTGGAATGTTTTTCCAAATAGGGTCTGACCAAGGCAGAAGAGAAGAACACTTGTTATCTGTGCTCCTATTAATATGCCCCCAAATGAAGTTTATTTCTTTAGCAGCTATATCGCATTGCTAGCTGGTATTTAAATTACTAAGCCATACTGTATTTCTGTCTTACATTTTTCATACTCAGTTGCAGAACTTTCAATTAAAATTAATTTCATTCATTTCAAACCTGTTGGTCAAACCCATTTAATTTTGAATCTTCTTTCAACTAAAGTATTAGTAACCACCACCACTACCCCATTGTGTCAATTGTACGTTTTTTTTTTCTTTTTAATTGCAATGGAACTATAAGGACTATTGGTTACTCAGCCAAATGAACAGATCAATTATTACATTTCACGTGAAAGGATAGTCTCATTACTTCATTCAAATTTACAGAATAGGAAACAATGGGGAGGGGGATGACAATCTCTCGACTCTTCCCTCTTAGACCTTTCGCCCCCCAGCCTTGTGAATGGAAGTAAATGGAAAGTAAATGGAAAGTAAATGGAAAATGCGATCAGTGAGAATAAGATTGGTCCAGATATGTGGATGTTGTTGCGATTGCCAATTTGTAATCGGTGGCGACGGAACCTTCTTCCCCCTCCCTCCCCGAACCCACCTCCGTCCTATCTTGCAGAGCAGAGGGCTCCAAAAGGGGGGGGAAATGGCATTTGAGGCCGCTTTCGTCCTCTCCCGCCCTCCAGGAGGACTACAATTCCCGTGATGCCTGTCAAAGGCGGCAAGAGCCGAGCGGAAGGCGTCGGCCTCGCAGAGGCGGCGAGTAGCTCTATCCGGGGCCTTGGCGCTTCTATCCTCCTTTCGCGCCGCCGGCTGCCGCTGTAGAGCGGCGGGTCCATGTGCGCATCGAACGGCGCTGCCTCCCCAGATCTCGTCCGCGTTGCCCGTCTCGGCCTCGACCGCACGGCCATGGACCCCAACACCATCATCGAGGCCCTGCGGGGCACCATGGACTCCACGCTGCGGGAGGCAGCCGAGAGACAGCTGAACGAGGTGAGAAGGCGGCGGCGGCGGTGGCAGCGAGGCCCGGCCTGGGAGCGCGGCATACAGGAGAAGCAGTCCCGGCGACAAGGCCGACGGGGGGTGGCTGGCGGGGGGGGGGACGCGAGTCGGGGACACCACGAATTGGGTCCAGGCACAGGCGGGGGAGAGAAGGAGAGAAATCGGGCGTGCGGACCCCGAATGGTCTCTCCCTGCACTAGAGTTGGGGACGGGGACGGGGACGGGGGAGGTAGGAGAAGCAGGTCCGCGATGGGCTCCGAACAGGCGAGCGATCCCTCGGTGGCACCTGGGAGGTCACCTCCAACCTAAGAGAAGGAGCCGAGGCTCAAGGCTGAAAACTTGGCCCAGGTTGTCGCCGGTCGCCTTGCTATTTACGCACGTGCACACGCACCTGGAGGGCGAGGAGAGAGGCCCAGGCGCGGGCCTGACGGAGCCGCCTTTCCCAGAGTGAAACGTGGGCAGGAAGAGGAAAGGAGGCGGCGGCGGCGGAGGCAAGAGCGTGGACGGGGCGAGGAAGCCAGGCCGTGTGGCGAAGCGCGGCTTTTGGGCCGGAAGGGAAGAAGGCCTCTCCCGCGATCGAGCCTAATGTCAGGCCCTTTCCCGCTCCCTCAAGCATTGTCTTCGGGCACGTGGCAGCCGCTCCGTCCTCATCTGAGGGAAGCCCGTCAGTGCCCGGCCCTTGCCCGCCTTCTGCCATGCCTGGTGGACAAGAGCCAGAGTCGCTTGCTCATGATAGCGAGGAAAAAAAAATTTCAAACGGGTCCTTTCTGAAACTGACGGCAGAAGGATTCTAGTGCAGGAGACCGAGGGTGTCCTTCTTCCTTATATGGACGCAAACTTTGTTGTTTAAGGTTAAATTTAGCGGCGGGAAAAAGAAGACGGCTGCTGAAGACACCTTTCAGAATGAAATAGCCCGTATTTCGTTTTCACTAATTGCACAGCACAAATTTTGATCTATGTATTTATAAGGGTGCACGTTTGTGAACCGGAAAGTGCTTTAAAACCGGCTTCGTATAGTTCTCACTGTGTTCCGCCCAAGTTTTCAATTAAAATTTGAAATGTAATAAGCTACTTGGGAAGCAGATTTTAAAAAGCAAGCTATCTCGTGGAAATAGTCTGAATGTCACATTAAAACGGGAGAAAGGCGGTATAGAAATAGAAATAATAAAATAAAAAACTGGCATCCTGTTTTAAACCATGTTTGTTTTTCAACATTTTGCAGTCCTGAAGCAGCCAGGCAACATGCAACTTACATCATGATTATGATTCAATGGAAAGCCCCACAAGTATGAAGAATCAGTGTGTATTTGGTATAAGTGTACTGAATGAAATGCCTAGCTTTCGCTAAGGAATGATATCTTAAGGCTTTTTTTTTTCTGTTTTCTAATCTGAACCTTTCAACATGTAATTATAGTCAGGACATTCAAGCTATCTAAAATGGATACTTTATTATTTCAATTTATGGTCATTATTCAAAATGACTCTGGGAGTCTAAATGTATTAAAAGAAAAGCATAAAAGCATAAAAACAGAAATAAATAAAACACATGAAACACCAGCCAGGGTAAAGATCAAAGTAGGAAAAAACCTTGGGTGACGTATGAAGGTCCTTACAAATCCTGTCTATTACCCAAATTATGTGTAATTCTTTATTATACTGCATGGGGATCTACGAGTGGTAGGCAGTCCTGGGGGTGGTTGGTGGCTTGAGGGTGTTCCATCCACCTTTTTTAAAAAAATGCTTTTAATTCTGTTTTTAAATCTTTCTAATGCTGTCTTTTTATATAGTTTTTAGCTTTCATTTGTAAACCATCCAGTCGCTCAGACATGGATGGTGTATAAATTTATAAAATAAATTATAAGAATTATACTGCTAAATTTGATCAGATTAAGTCAAGTGAACCATCCATATGCATTTTGATGTAGGAAGGCGTGTGTGAATAATTGAAGCTTTAAGTAAAGTTGGTGTTGACAATGTTTTATTGATTGCAACTTATCTTAAGTAGCAAATAATGAGAAAGTCCACTGTGGTTCTTAGGTAATTTGCTATGCTTCTTTGGGTTCTAAACCATGTTCTCATTGTTTAGAAGAGATTAAGGTATTTTGTCTGAAATAGGTCACTGGTGTGCTTGCTACTTCTGGAAACAGAAATTTGGAATGATCACACCATGTCAGTGAGTTAATTTAGCTAACAATGGTTTTTGAGTTCTGGAAATGAGTTAAGTGTAGAAATACAAAGATATATTAATTTTAAAAATCTGGAAAGGACCCTGAATTTGACAATTGGTGTCATGAAGTCTGTGGTGCTCAAACTGAAGTAAAGAAGATAAAGTTTTAGATATATTTTAAAAGTCACACTGTTCATGAAAACCACATTTTGTGACCCACAGCCTATCTTCTTTATTTAGTCTGATTAAATATACTGAGTTGTAGCTTTACAAGTAACGTACAAGTGTGTACTAATATACTTTTTGTATTAAAAAATTGCCTGGTTTATATATCAAAGCTTCATATTATTAATTACAGATTGTAATCATTCTTAGCATAAATACCAAAAAGGGTGCAGCTTTAATTTTCATGACCAAAAAAATCTGATAAAGTAATGAACTGGCATTGTTACATCAGAAATATTGATATAATTTGTATATTGGGATATTGTGAAAATGAGAATTGCCTTACTTAAACAACATCCTGGTGTGCCATTTGGCTACTACTCGCCTAGGCAGCTAAAATGATTGTCTAAGTTTTTGTTAATGTAGGGAAACTTGTGATCCTTCACATATTAATGAACTGCCAAGTCCCAATGCCTCTTATTTTAGGCCAAAATTGCTGTGGCTTATGGAACTTGCATTTCAGCAACATTTGAGAGGCAACAGGTTTCCCTACTTTCTAACATATTTGAATCTGAAGTCTTGCTTTATTTGTTTCCTAACAGTTTGAACCAAACCACTAACAGAATAGAGCATGCCATATGATTATGGCTTCTTAAGAGAAAACCAAACCAAAATTCCTGTTTGGGCCTAATGCCACACAACCAGTGGATGAAACTTTTATGTGGACAAGTGATTGACAAGTGCATTTTCATTCATGAATAAGTCAAAAGTTTTTTACAATTCTGGTTTGCAGTGTTTTCCAGATGTGACTAATGGTTTGTACTTTTTGCAGTGAAATATTCTATTAGGTTATATACTTTTTCACACTTGGTATCCTATTTATTAAGAAAGCATATTGTGGGATGCAGTTCCATAAAACCAAGCAACTACTGTTTACCTCATGAACAATTGTATGAGGTCTTTGGTGGTAGAAAAGTCCTTCAATAAAGTCCTTCAAATATTCTGTTCAGAACTGTTATCTGCCAGTGGCATCAAAAAGATTATAGATAGAGGTAGTATCTTTCTTTGTCGAAGATTTATTAACAAGTTATCTGTGATTAACATTTTACCATATGTCTTCAATAGAGGGAGTATAGGAAGATTTGCTTTTCTTGTTTTTTATTTTTTTAATAGAAAATATATATCTATGTATCTGTATCAATACACACACACACACACACACACACACACACACACACACACACACACACCTTGTTTCCCCCAAAATAAGACATCCCCTGATAATAAGCCCAATCGGGCTTTTGAACTCATGGCAGTAAGGCCAAGCGCTTATTTCAGGGTTCAAAAAAATATAAGGCAGGGTGTTATTTTCAGGGAAACATGGTATATATAGATATAGGTAGATATTCATATTTTATGGTATTGTACTATTATAATAAACAAGCCTTCACCATCCTGGTGCTTCGTTCAGTGATGCACCTGGAGAAGGCTTGAAAAAAGCTTATCTTTGCAACAATGATATTATTTTAGTGCTATTTTTGAATTGTTTGCTTTATTGTTGCATGTGATAGAATTGTAATGGAGCCAGGTGGTTGCTATTCTATATTCCTATGTTAAGGAATATTATGCACTAGAAGATAAGAGCATACAAAGAATAGGATCCTCTGATTTTTTTTTTATTTTATACTTTTATGTTCAAAAACTGAATTGGATTCAGATTTTCTTGATAAGCTCAGAAATCACTTCCTTTTTCAGTGGAAAAAATACTACCCTTGCTATACATACGTACACGGAGATCAAGACATCCTGTAGTGACATGAGAGAAATAGCAAACTAATAGTATACAATTTAAAGGAAGATTTTTGAGCACAGATATGCTAATTGCTGGTGTGATCTGAGAACACACTTAAATTTGATTATTTGTCATACCCAGTGTACATAAAATCCATTACAATACTTTTGTTAAGTACAGGGAACATGATAGGTTTTGAATAATAAGAGTAACAATTTTACAACATTTATAATATATATTACAGCCTGCCTTTTCTGAATAAAATTATAAAGAATTGTCAGTATTTTTAATGTTTTAGAACAAAGCTACTCATATTTACTTAGTTTTTCATTCTTGTTATATTTGGCATTCATTTTAAATTCTTATTTTTTTCCAACTCAGCAAGAATCAGTTTGGTATAGTGATTAAGGCACCAGGCTAGAAACCAGGAGACTTGAGTTCTGGTCCTACCTGAAACATGAAAGACAGCTGAGTGACTTTGGGCCAATCACTCTGTGAGCCCAAGACATCAGTTCCAGCGACAAGCCAGTGGGTCAGTTCCTGTCACAACCAATAGATCAACACTTGGTTGATCTGAAAAAAGCAGACCTTTCTGAAAAAATACTAGGTTGAAAAAGAGAAAAGTTCTTTCCAACTTAATGGAATATTAGAAACACACAGAATACTGGAAAGAGAGAACAGAAAGGAGCCAAATTTGGTATGGCAGAGAAGCTGGAGAGAAAAAAATCACATTAAAATGGGTTTGATCCACTTGGTGCTGCATGTAAATTAAATTTCCCACTGCATCCCTACATTGATCAGTTCATTCTAAGCCTGCTTCCCTACTCCCTTCTAGCTATGCAGAACTATTAAGGGCTTAGAAAGAAT